TAGCCAAATGGATGCACATTGAGGCCATACTCTTCAGTGAAATACATAGGACAGGCATGTGTAAATACTGAATAGTTTCTCTGGTGTGAGAAATTGAAAGTATAAATAAGGATCAAATATATAATAGATAATGTGAAGCAGGAAGAAAAAGTCTAAAGGGGTGGAGGAAGTGGGAGGAGTAGGGGAAAGGAAAAGTATGAGAAAAGGAAAAAATGGAAACAAAGTTTTTGTAAATAGGGTAGGGTAGAGAGGTTGAAGGGAGGGCAGGGAAATGGTGAAAAATAAGAAGCAAGATATATCATGTAAAGGTAAAAATTTCCAATGATGAATGTCATCATTTTGTATACCTAAAATGTACCAATAAACTTAATAAAAATAAAAATCAACACAAAAATCAATAATGTTCCTGTGTGCTAATAATGAACCCACTGAGAAAAAAAATTAGGAAAAAAATACTATTTGCAATAGCACCAAGAAAAATTTAAATACTGGGAATTAACCTAATGAAGAAAGTGAAACACATCTATAATAAAAATTATGGCATATTGAAAAAAATTAAAGAGGGCATCAGAAAATGGAAAGATATTTCCTGTTCCTGGATAGGCAGAGGAAATACAGTCAAAATGATTATACTTCAAAAATTGATACACAGATTAAATGCAACCTCAGTAAAAATACCAGTTGCATTCTTTACTGAACTTGAGAAAACAATCTTACAAATCTTACATTAAACAGAAGAGATGCAGAACAGCAAGAGCAATCCTGGATAACAAAAGAAAAGAAAGAGGCATCATGATCCTGGATTTGAAGGTCTATTACAAAGCCACAGTGATTAAAAACAGCTTGCTACTGGAACAAAAACAGGCAGGAGCGTCATTGGAACAGAACAGAGGATGCAGAAACAACCTCCAGCATGTTTAATTATTTGGTGTTGGATAAAGGGGCCAAAAACACACCAGAGGAGAGATAATGTCTTTAATGGTGTTGGGAAGACTGACTATCCATACACAGAAGATTGAATCTCCATTCAGGTCTCTCACTGTGTACCAAAGTCAAATCTAAGTGGATCAAAGAACTAAATGTTCAAATAGGAATAATTAACCCACAAGAAGTTAAAATAGATAAAGTTCTTGAAGTCATAGATATAGGCAATGATTTTCTAAATGGAACCCTGATTCACGGGAAATAGTGCTATGAATGAACAAATGGGATAATATCTAATTAAAAAGCTTCTGCACAGCAGAAAAAACAGCCAACAGAGCTCAGAAGACAACTGACAGAATGGGAAAAAGGTTTTGCCAGCTATTTCCAAGAGCACTAATATCTAGACTATATAAAGAACTAAAATAATTAGACCTCCCCAAAAATAAGAGACCCAATAAAAAAACTGGGCAACTAAAATAAACATTTCTCAGAAGAAATACAAATGGCCAATAAATACATGAAATGATGCTTCCGAGCAAAAGATAATACCACTGCCTATTGGAGAAATGCAAATTAAAACAACACTGAGATTCCATCTTACTCCAGAAACAAAGGAAAAAAGGGAGCTTAAGCAGAATAAGGTTCCATGAGCTTCTTTCATTACATGTCACATGATGACAGGGGCTTGACTGTAAACCACCTCTGGCTTACTTCCCAACAACTTTTGTTCTCCTTTTCTTTTTAATTATTGCATAAGAGTTGTGCATATTTATGGGGTACAACAGAATGTTTTTATACATCCAGTAATTATGCATTATCATTACACAATAATCAAATAATATAGTTACTTATCTATCACCTCATATGTTTTCACTTTTTTATGGTGAGAACATTCAAAATCCCCTCTTCTACCTACAATGAAATATCTAATACAAATGTTGCACCCTACTGTGCAGCAGAACACCAGAACTTATTCCTTCTATGTGTAACTTTGTACCCTTTGACCACTGTTCTCTCTTCCCCAACCTCCAGTAGTTAACTCAGATAAGGAAACCGAGAGTCACAATGGGTAGCTGAATAGTTCAGGGTGCCGAGGTGCTGAATGACAATGTACACCCTAGAACTCAGCCCCCTAGTGCCTAAGGTGAAACTGTCCTACTGCAGGGCTCTGATATTATGGCCAGTGGGATCAATTTAGACCCAAGGTCACGATTGGCTTGAGAGAGGTAACTTCAGGAAACAGATTTATTGTTTATTTTTCAGTTTGGACCATAGCTAAATAAATACAATTTCAAACTTAAGGTTCAAAGCAGAAATGAAAAGTGTATGTATATATATATATATATCCAGGGTGTGGATTTCTTTCTGAGAACAGTTTAGAATCGATACATGGACAAAACCATGTCATCGTTAGAAGTCCCACTAGGTGGCAGGCTCCAGCTGTGTTAAGCTTGTCTCCCTTCTCAAGTACGGGTTCTCAAGCGGGAACTGCCCTTGGGACAGCGCTTCTTGCACTCTGTTAGCTGTGCTGTGGTTATTGTTTCAAGTTACAGTTTAAATGACAAGACATTTCATTTACCAAAAAAACAAAACAAAACAAAACACAAAAAGCGTGGGCCGATGTAAATTTATGTATCCAGATGAGTACATTCATGCCTACCTCTGAGCCCTCTCTGGCTACTTTGAACAGTTCGGTTGGTCCCTCAAGGGGTAGCAGTAACATGTTAAAGGTTCTGTATATTCAGGTGCTGAAACTGATCGGATCTCAGTTACATGCAGAGTCTACCCTCGATCACACGGACATCTCCTCTCTTTGAGATTAGAAACATCAAAGATACTTTGGACAGTGGTTGCTCTATTTCTTTACTTTTCCCCTTCTTTCAACAATCTTTTCTTGAAGCATTCATTACGTGCAAGGTCCTGTGCTAGGTAAATGCTAATGTGAGGGTGAATGAAACAGACAGAACTGTGCATCCATGAAGCTTTTACCCTTACAGGAAAGGACTATTAAACAAGCAACTTTAGTATTGCTGGGTGTATGCCTCGTCAACAAAAGTTCAGTCAGAGAGGAGAAAATTCAAGATCATATCCAAAGGTTGAGAGGTAACTTCTGGCGTAGAAGAAGGTAAGAAAATTCCAGGAGGAAACAGCATGAAGGAAACACCTAGAGGTGAGAAGAAAAAATATAGTGCCTGGAACACTGAGGATGTGTGGCAAAGGCTAAAGGCAAGGGAGAGGAAAGTTTACCTGAAAAGAGAAAGGGTGGAGGGAGAAAAGCAGTACGCAGACTGTGGAGTACCTGGTTAGCCATGTTGAGCAGTTTAGTGAGTCCAGGGCAATCCTGAGCTGTGGGTGGAAGCCTTGATAAGTATATGTACACAGAAAATATAGAGGTATATAAGCCACAGCTTGAGGGTGAGTACATGTCATTACCTCTAGGAAAAGATAATGTCTCTTTCCAGGCCTGGATACCTGCCTGCTCTGCTCCCTTGCACTCCAGACTTGTCTTCCTCAAATTGGGATCTAGAGACATATTCTTGGCGTAGTGCTTCTTTGCAAGAATTTAAAAAGTTTTTTCATTTTGCTAACATGAAACACGCTAGTATACGACTATTCTAGGTCACCTGATCATCTGCTGGGGCACCGACATAATCCATTTCCGTCATCTTTGGACGTATTTCACTTCTTTGATCTCATCCTCACACACTTCCGTAGGACAGCAGGAGAATTCTTGGCACAATGAACTAGGGAAGAAAATAAGGAATTTAGACCCAATGGCCTGCCCATTTGGCTTCAATAAATCGGTGCTGGTAGAACCAAGGCAGTGCTACAGCTTTCAGCATGGTTGTTAGAAACTTCCCAGCAGTGAAAACAAGCTAGGCCGATGTGGTCCTGCTCCCTGGAAAACCAGGATCCAGGGATTGTCTTTCAGGATGTTTCTGTAGTGTCTGTTGGGATGTTGGCATTTTTCAGTCAAGAACTAGAAGTTGGGAGGAGTGGGTGGGCTGTAGGAGATCTCTCTGCTGGCGGGTTCCTCTAACAACAATAAATAACTTCTAGTGAGAAGGGAAGGAATCCAGGATTTTGCTTGGCTGGAGTTGACAAGAGCTTCCTCCACCCACAGACAACACAGAGGAGGGTGGGCCAGGGAAGCAGACAGTGGTTCCACTAATCACCCCAGGCTCTGAAGCCTGGGCAAGGAGTGGTCTGGGGGACACTTTAAAGTAAACAGATGTCAAGAAGAGTTTGTAAACAGATTACCACTGCTGAGAGAAAGCCTGTACAAACTTCGGTAAATACTGCGGAAAGTGCCACAGTGGTAAATGGAGAGGAAGTTATCTTTCTCCCCCCAGTCGAATTTATTTGGATAAAGTGGACATAAAATTTACCATTTTACTCATTTTTACATATGTGGTTCAGTACATTTAAGTTTATTTACATTGTTAGACAAGTGTCTTTCAATGGCACTCACTTTCCCGCAAAGCTGGTTTCTCATTTGCTGGGCAGAATAAAGGAAGACAGGCTCTTCCTGGCCTTTACACTCACCTAGAGGAGCAGCGGGGGGTCTAGGTTGCAGTGGTAAATGGAACACATGCTGTAGCCAAACGCTACAAGTGGGTTTTTATCCTAGAAATTAAAAACCACCTATCCGGAGCTGAAGGTGGAGCTCTGTCTTCCCAGACTTCATGGCACCGGGCACGAGGCCCTTGTATGTATCCCCAGAGACTGACTGGTGGGAGTGGCAGGATACACGGCTTCTCCAGTGTACAAAATGTTCTGAGGGCTCAGGTTGCATAAAAGCACAGCTATGCTCTGTTTAGGATGTGGGTGGGGGACAGTAATAATCAGTCTCATTGTGTTGTCAGGATGGAATATGATGTCATGCATGTAAGGCGCTTGGCTTTCTCAATAATGATGAGCTATTTTTATTCACACTACTGGATCTTAGGTAAATCACAAGGAAATAGGCTGTTGTTCTGAAATTTTGCTTCAAGAAAGTGTTTTAGACTCACAGCTCCACTCCCTACAAACGCTCCACGTTGTTGTCCACACTGTAATGTGCATCTCGAACGCCCCCCAAAGTCCCTTGTTTCCAAGGTTTGACCATTTTGGGGAGGTGGTGGAACTTTCAGGAGATAACGGCCTGGAAGGTAGGTCATAGGGTGCGTGCCCTCGAAGGGGACACTGGGGACTGGCCCTTTCCTTTCTCTCTTTCTGCTCCACGGCTGCCGAGAGTGGAGCACATTCCTCTGCCATGTGTCTCCACCGTGATATTCGGCCTCAAACAAAACCCCAGCAGTCCAAGAAATCAGAGTTTTTCCTCTAGGCTCTGCGCTGGGTTCCCTTGAAAGCTTCCGTTCTCTCACCCAGCTGCTGCAGGTGCACAGTTGCTAAGTCGCTGCTCTAGGAGTCTGCCAAGAGCCTCCCATCTCACCTTGTGTCCGGTATTTGCAACTTGTCTGCTCTGCCCTGGGGACTTAGGGTGCTGTCACCTGGACTTGCTTGGTGGCTTCCTGCTCAAACTCTTGGCTGGACTGACTTTTGGGCTCAACCCTGACAGATCCTGGCTGCCCAAAGCCCTTCTCACCCCACCCTACCTTTTGAAACCCAAGTGAGATTCGGTGTCTTGTTTGCCACATTGGGGTCAGGAAGTATAACAGTACTATTCTTGGGTATGAACTTGGGTGAATAGCGGAGACAAGCCAGGGGTAGGACCCTGGGGAGCAGCGAAAATGAATGTGGGAGAAGGTGCCTGCATACGTGTACTTTCCTTGGTTGCTCATGGAAGGACACAATATATTGCATGTGCTGATGCACCGGTTGGGGAAAGAGGAAGATGATAGCAATGAAACATACAAGAGCAGGAGGGGTGACCACAACAAGCATGTCACAGCTTGAGCTGAAGAGCTGTTCAGCTGAGTGGAGTGCATGCCAAACATTTTGTCTGCCTACTTTACATATAAAGACGATATTAGACTTTTACGAAAAGAGAACCAGAAATGCTTCTAACCTCGAGCAGCTTATAAACTAGTGAGGGGAAAAAACAAAAAAACAAAAAAACCCAGATACAATTGCAGAACAACATAAGACCGCTTGGGTTGGGTGTGAGTTCCAGAAGGCTGGCAGGGCAGGAAGAAGACAGCTGTGTGCAGGGCGGGAGGCAGATGCTGAGTGATCGATTCCTCACTTCTTTACAAAATTTTTTTATTAGTACGTGTTTGCAATGCATAATGAATACACTTAGGATGGGGAGTTGTTACATGTACATCTTAAATCATTTTTTTTATTGCTGTCATTCTAGACCCCAGTATAGAGCTTCGTGTGGATGCTTAACTAGCTAGAAATGCTGACTGTCCTTTCCAGAGACATCACCTCAGCTCCTGGTGCTAAGATGGAGGAGGTGAAAAGTAGGGGCAAGAAGAAGGGGCTGCCGTGTGCATTGAGCTTGGGGAACCACTCAGCTGGCCTGGACTCTACATTTTACACATGATCAGGTTAGAGTCACAGAGCATAAGAGGCTGTCTTAAGTTTATAGCTTTTGTTTGTGCTGCTGTTATTATTGTTGTAGTACTTGAGACTAGGCCTGGACCTTTGCATCGAGCTACATCCCTGGCCATTTTTCATGTTTTATTTTAAGACAGAGTCTTGCTAAGTCACTAATTTGCTCAGGCTGAGCTCAAACTCAAAATCTTCCTCTCTCAGCCTGCAAGAGCCCTGGAATTACAGGTGTGCTCCACCAGGGCAGCCTTACTTTGCAACTTTTAATAAAGTAAGCTAGACTTGAGCTAAATTCCCAACACCCTTGGCAACAGAGCAGTCTGTTTCTTTAGGTTTCTGATGTTTGTTCGGATTTGCCCACGAACTGCCCTTAGTATGAACAGGTGCCATGAAAACGCTAAGAGGGAGGTCTGGTGGACGTCCCTCCACAGCCCCCCTACAGTGCCCTGCGTGAACGGGCCCTGGCCAGATGGTCTCTACATTCACTATTCTGTCTCGGCCATAATGTGTTCACTGTGGCTGTTGGCTTGCTCATTAGTAATCCACAGCTTATTCTCATTGCAGGGGTGGCAGAGGCTTGCTCTATTGTCCTCTGTCCCTCCCTCCTCCGCTGGACCCTGTTCTTCCTGGAATACATGGCCATGAGCATTCAGCTAAGCAGGGCAGAGATCTTTACCTTATGTTACCCACAGAGTAGCACTGTTGTCCTTAGTCTACGGGCTAAGATTAGAATGGCTAGTAAGTAAGAAGCAAAGCTCGCTAAGGTCTGGGAGCCTCGGGGGCCAAGGCTAAGCTGCAGGGGGATGGCGAGGCCTAGAGAGGTCCACACATGTAAAAAATATGTTTGAGAACAAAGTCAGCCTGCATTCCGAATTATTTTTACATTCAAATGGGCATTATTTTGATGAACCATGATAAAACAATAGTCTGGATGTTTTAAGCCTCCAAAGGAATTCCTGCTGGCCCTGCCTGTTGGAAATTGACATTCTAAAAAGGTGATGTGATGTAAAAGTCACATCCATATATTTAAAAGACACATGAGCCATCCATAACGTGTTTATAGAGCATCTGTTCTGCAGTTGTGAATGTGGTTAAACTTCTTTTGCTTTTATGACAGTTTTTCTTATTATAAAATAACACATGCTCATTTATTTTAGAAACTTTATAAATCAAAAAGAAGGTGGCCACTGAGAATTCCAAGATATACTGTCAACTTTATGGTATAAAATCTTTGAAATTTATAAAAACTTTAATGTAGTACTGAAGATTGAACCCAGAGCTTTCCCATAGAGTTACATCTGAGCAGCTCTATTTTATTTTTTGAGGCAGGGTTCTGCTAAATTCTTAAATTGCCCAGGTTGTGCTCAAACTTGTAATCTTCCCGCCTCAGCATCCCAGTATGCTACTATGCCCAGCTTGTGGGTCTATTTTTACATTTAAAAATTGCACCAAAATATATAGACAATTTTGATTGATTTTCCCCCAATGTGACATATTTTTCTATATTACGACTTTTATACCATAGTAGGCTTGACTCAATGTCTTGGATCTCTTGGCGTCTTGGACTTTGTTCCATTTTCTACCATCACTGTCATTGTGCAGCTCTCAAGGTAACAATTATCAGTTCCTATGGGTTGCACCCTGAGCTGTATGCATTTTAAGACATTATTCTAGGTGTCTTGATAAACTTTCTGTTAGATCAATCTCTGGTCTTTAGGCCTGGTTTTGGTTTTGGATATCAAAGGGATATCCGTGCCTCGTTTTTTTCAGAATCTAGGATACCTCTGAGAAGGAAGACAGTTCCCTTGATAAAGAAGCTAGCTGTGTTGGACAGAGAGGCAGAAAATGATGATGTCTGCAGAATGAAAAGGTATGAGGAGGAAGGGAAATATCCTAGCGTGATGCTCAGAGTCTGGTCAGAGCCAAGGACTTGGAAAACTGAGAGAGAAGCTGGCAGGGCTAGAGGGCCACCACAAATGTGATCTACTGTGAGACAGTGAAAGAGTGCCTGATGTTACTTCTTTCTCAGTAAGGCAGAAGAATCAGCATAAGCCATTGTACTAAAGAGATCTGAGTCACATTTTACATACATTAGCATAACTGGCTTTTGGAATATTAATATTGTATATTATAAGAGCTTGAACTAATTTTTTGGCTAGTACTCAAATGTAGAGACAGAGAAGAGATCAATAAATAGATGACAGAGCACAGATAAGAGATGTGATTGAAGGATACAGTAAAAGTTTAAATTTTAACAGTTTTACAATAAAAGACATATTGCCATTAATCCCCCTCAAAATACCCCTGCTCATTTTGAACTTTTCCCATCATCCTTGCCACGTCCTGAAGCAGTTCTGGAGTCCTCTTTTATGAGTGCCTTTAGTCACTCTGTTGGGACACCTCGATGTCCTGAATTCATTCAAGAAATATTCTTACAAGACTGCTTTCTCATTGGATGGCAGTGGGGAGCATCATTTACCATATTTTTCTGCTTTCTCATTGGATGGCAGTGGGGAGCATCATTTACCATATTTTTCTGCTTTCTCATTGGATGGCAGTGGGGAGCATCATTTACCATATTTTTCTGCTTTCTCATTGGATGGCAGTGGGGAGCATCATTTACCACATTTTTCTGCTTTCTCATTGGACGGCAGTGGGGAGCATCATTTACCACATTTTTCTCACGAAGACACTCATGAATGAGGACTTCCAGAACTGCTTCAGAAAGTGGCAAGAATGGTGGGCTGCGTGTATTTTAAGTGAGGAGAAGTTTTCTGAGGGAGATTAACACATTTTCTCATTTACATACACTGTTTTTATCATTCTTTACAAATTGAAAGATAGTAGCTGATAAACAGATAAATAAATGATATCTGAGAGATGCCAGCCTAATTTCTAATATTGGATCTATATTTACTTTGAAGTTCTTTAGTTTGCATATTTGGTTCTCTGCGAATGCTTATGCATATTTTTTTCTTTCTTCTGAAAAATGTAAATGGTGACAACTTCAATATGTCTATTTCCCGGAATTTGTTCTCTGTTCATATGGCTCCATTCCCAGAATATCGCGGAGCGATTCTTTTCTGACACATTCTTAAATCAAGACTTGGAGTAAATACAGGACCTTTGCCAACATTTGAAAATGAACAAGCAGATACTCACGAGCCTTTATCTCCCTTAATTCTTGGCTCAGTTCCTTGCATGAGGTGGAAGCGAACCAATTAACTGTTGAAATGAATTTTGACTAAGGGTATGTAAGGATATTTAATTATACTTTTTTTTTAACTTTACCGCTTACATTTTTTGTGTGTAATGCTAATGGAACCAACACAAAGTGCTCAAGGCAGAAAATCTGCGTTTAGTTGAGTGGACCTGGGAAAGTTGTTTAAACTGAGCTTCCAATTCCCCTGTGGCTCTAGGACTTCCTGTGTAACTTTTGGGAAGTTTCCTAACCTCTCTGGCCTCAATTTATTATCAACAACATAGAAATAATGATAGCACTTAGCTCACAGGGTTTCTTCCTGGTCATCCACTGATATCCTTTTGCCTTTGAGATGGCTTGACCCTGGTGAGGGGGTCTGTACTCCCAAAGATTGGATGAGGGATGACTTAGTAGATGTTCCCACCAGGAAGGCAGCTGTAGCTACTGCTTTTAGACAAACAGGCAATTGCAGTGCAGCATGTGTTAAGTACTTAAAGCAACAGGGTGCCACCACAGGACATCTCCTGGTCTTTCAGTAAGGACTCTTGTTAGCTCTTATGCATCAGAGTGACAAAGATTGACAATAAGACTTCTCCCTGTCAGATAAACTCGGGCATCCCTATGTTGCTGAAGACAACCTTTCCCAGAAAGGTACTGAAGTGCCCCACAAACCCCTTTAAGTGATAGACTTGCTAGAACTAAGGTAATGGGTCTCAAAGTAAGGGCCATAGAACTTAGTGACCCACATTGTACATTAGCTAAACAATACATTCCTAGAAAGAGTTTTTGTAACAAAGATCCTAGTGTTCAAAAGAAAATCAATATATAAATATATATTGATAAATATATATATATATATGTGTATAT